GCAGCCAGAGCATCCCTCCCTCCCTCCCTGCAGCATTCCCAAGGTGTCCCCTCGCTGCTCCCCTGCTCCCTGCCCAGCTCTGCCCGCCCRTGGCACCCCTGTGAGCGGAGCTGGCCCATCCCTGCTCCCCACCTTCCTCCAGCCCGGCCGCCCRCAGCAATAATGGAGCTGCTGGCCCTGATCCAGAGCGGATGGGAAAGGTAATGGCTATTGATCCAGGACAGGGAGCTGAGMAGCTTCCCCAGGGATTGGGAGCAGAGCAGCCCCAGCCGGGCACAGYGGAGACAAGGGCGGCATCACAGCGAGGCCGGGAGTGGCACTGCCACCATCCCTGMCAGAGCACAGAGGGGCTGGCACACTGCCCTGCAGAAGGGACAACAGCCTGTCCCCAAGCAACAGAGCCAGCCCAGGTATGGGAGCTGGGGACCAGAGGCGTGGAGGAAGCAGCTGTGTCAACATCTCCCTTGATAGCGCCCGCTCGCTCGCTAACAGCCACCAGCGAGGCAACTTCAAAGGGCAGCGCCGTGCCCACAGAGCGCTCTTTGTTCGGGGTGGGTACGCGGTGGCACAGCGCCAGAACGCAGCCAGGAGCCCTCCTGCCACGGCAAAGGCCCCGACTCGCAGGACCAGCTCCCTCAGAGCTCCCCAGCACGCAGGTTTGGCCCTCGCCCATCCCTCAGCGCATTACACTTGGCACCAAGCAGAGAGGGATGAGCGAAGCACGGCACAGCAAAGAAGGTGCTGGAAAAACAGGTGAAAGTCCCAGAGATAAGCACGCAGCGGGGACAGGAAACTGGGCTGGGAACACAAAGGGAAAGATAACTTGGCACAGGAGGCACCTGCTCACCTGTACGGCTGTGATTTGGCTGCCTGATGTGCATGGGCACCTGCACAGCTGGGCGAGCCTGGGGCTAGGGTGTGTCCCTGGCACTCCTGGCAGCCAGGCCAGGCTTCCCCTCTCCATCCTTCTCAGCCCTTCGGCGAGGGCCCCAGGCAGAGCCAGCCCCCGGGAGAGCTGCCGGCCCTCCCCCTGACCCGCTCGGCATGAGAGCCCTCGACCAGGCGGGGAGCAACCGAAACCATGAGCTCAGAGCTGGAGAATGGCTGGCATCTGCGGCTGGCATGAGGAACACAACCCCGCCGGCCATGCAGTGCCCTTGAGGAGGCTGACACGGTCGCTGCAGCCCCCACCCCACCCCGAACGAGGGCTCGCCGCTCCCCACCTCCTCCGGGACGGGCTGGGAGAGCGACACAAGGGGCCACTCACAATGTCCCCCGCGACCCTGGGGACACAAGGCTTCGTTCTGCAGCTCCCAGGCCCTTTGCTATGTGCGTGGGCAGGCTAAAGAGCGCTGGGCACAGCCAGCCTGGCACAGCAGGCGCCGGGGACTTGGCGATCCTCCCTCGTGCCCGGCACAGCTGCGGGCTCGCTGATGGAACCTGGGGASATCCATCGGCCACGCGTGGAGCAGCCGGGCTCCGCCACCCCACGAGCCTGGCACGGCTCCAGCCGGAGACCTCGAGATGTGGAGAGGGCGCCTGYAGCGAGCGAGCGAGCGGGGAAGGAAGGAGAGCCCCCGCGCCGTTTCCATCTGGCTGGCGGACAGCCGGCCGGCAGCCAGAGCTCCGCAAGAACAAAGATTTGCTTTTAGAGCTGGGGAAGGGGGTGGGGAGCGGCACAGTCCCCTCGCCAGCCTCCTGCAGAGCCGAGGTGTTTGGGGAGAAGGCGAGAAGCGCGGCTGCGTTGGCGGCACGGAGCCCCCGGCGCCGAGGAGCGAAGGAGGGGCGCCCCGGGGGTCTGGAGCCGCACGCGGGATGCCTGAGGTTTCCGTGGGTTTGTGTTCCCCGTTCGGGAGAAGCAGCTGTGGCCCGATCGCCCTGCTCCCGGCACGGGCACACAGCTATTCCGGGGAAAGCTGCCCCTCCTGCGCAGATCCCCGAGCCGGGGTGCCCCGGATCGCACGGAACAGCATCACCCGCACCCCGTCTCCTTCTCAGGAGGTGAAAGAGGGTTCAGACCCCCTGCACGAAGCGGCACCAGCAGCGCCAACACCTCCGCCCGCCAGCCACCTCCGCCCAGCCCAGCCCAGCCSAGCCGGGGATGGAGCCGGAGCTCCCCTGCAGCAGGAAGCAGCACCTCGCACCCCAAAACAGCCACAGCACCCCGTCACCACCCCGTCATGGGCATCCGGACAGGGCAAAGCTCGCAACTCCACCCCGCAGCTCGGTGACAGCAGCCAGAGAWCCCCCGAACAGCCAGACTGCGGTGCACAAAGGGCTGGGATGGCTCAGGCAGCGCCGGGGTGGGCTCAGCCCCCAATTCCAGCAGCGCTGGCTGGCCTGGGAATGTTTTGGCTGTGGCCCCTTGTGCTTCTGGGAAGCATCAAGCCCTTCACGTGGCTGGGCTTCCAAATACACCGACGCCGCCAACCATTGAGAGACTCCTGGCTCGACACATGTGCTGTGGGAAGGGGATCCCGGCACGGGACGGGGGTGGGAGCAGCCTGCTCTAGACTCCGCTCTGAGCCTGACTTTGGCTCCAACACCTCGGCCCGGGCAGGTTCCCAGCGCCGGGGCCACCTCCGCAGCTCGGCGGGGCAGGGAGCAGCCAGCGCACCGGGACCGCTCCCGGGCCCCCGGCGAGGGGAGGGCGCGATGAGGGGAGCGGGGCAGGGCAGGAAGCGCAGCCACCCCCCGAGGGTGAAAATGGACTGGAAAGTGGATAAAAAAAGCAAGCACGAAAAAAGCCAAGAGAAACACAGCGCTCGGGGGAAAACTCCTTAGAAGGAAAGGGGTGGATGCTTCCTAACAACAACCAGTTCACCCCGGTGCGCGCCGAACGCACGTGGGTCACCCCTCAACCTGCYCTGCCCCGGGGGGCTGCAGAGGAGCCCCGAGAGCGGCACGGGGCAGCCGGACCCGCCCCGCCGCGGATCGCGGGGCCGTTCGGGCGGGGACACACGCTCGGAAGGGCCGATCCCACCTGGGCTGCCCCGACCCCGCGATCCGAGCATTCCCGGCGCCGCGCCAGGCACCGCCCGAGGGGCGCCGCGCTCCCGCCTGCGGGCGCTGGCCCCGCCGCGGCTCTGCGGGACACGGCTCCGGCTGCCACCGCGGAGAGCTGCGAGGGGGCAAAGTCCGGCCCCGCACCCCCCCGGGTGTGCCCCGGGGCGAAGGACATCTCTACCTGGGCTCCGCGGGACTCCGCTCAGCACCCCCGGCAGCCGCGCCCCGGAGCGCTCCGCAGGTGCGCGGGTCCGCCCGTCCCGCACCGCCCGGCCCCGGCCGCGGCCCCGCAGCGCCCAGCCCGGCCCTTCCCGCAGCCACTCACCGCAGCAGAGCAGGAGGCAGCAGCCCCAGCCCAGGGCGAGCCCCGCCGGCCGCCGCCCCCCAGCCATGCCCGCCGCCGGCCGCCCGAGACTGAGCGGGGCCGCGGGCTGACGTCAGGCGGAGGAGGAGGAGAGGAGGCGAGGAGGAGGAGGAGGAGGAGGAAGGCGCGGTGCCTGCCCACCGCTCGCAGCCGCTTATCACCCCCAGCAGCAGCCGGCCGCCCAGCCCCGCAGCGCCCTGCCCAGCCCCGCACGGCAGCGGGCAGCGCTCGGCCCGGCCCCCGGCACGGCCCCGCCGCTCTCGGGCCGTTCCCAGCTGCGCCCGAGGGGCTCGCAGACCTGCCAGCTCCTGCCTGTCCGGGCGTGCACGGGCTGAGCCAGGCAGACAGCCGGGCGCTGGAGGTGGAATCGCTCACAGACCCAGCCGAGGGGGCAGAGGCGTGGGATGTGTTTTCGGGGTGTTTGGGGAATGCTGGTGACGGGGACAGTCCCTGAGTCCAACGTGCAGGTGGCAGCGGTGACAATCAGAAGTGACCTGCTGCCCCACAGCGCTCCAAAACCCAGCCACAGCTGCTGGGTCACCTTTGAACCCACGCCAAACAAGGACAGACACAAAAACAGGGAGGCAAACCACTCTTTGTCACTGCCCGGGCTCTGACCGACACCTCGGGGCACTCGGGTCCGCGGGGCGGAGCGGGGTCGCGTCCCGGTGCTGTCGCAGGCCGGTCCCCAAGGTCTGCAGGGTTGTCCCCCCGCACCCCGCCGAGCCCCGGTGTCCCCAGCCCCGCCGGGACCCCCGGCCTGTCCCCGAGGCGGGGCCCCAGAGCGATCSGCGGCCCGAGCCCCCGCGCAGCTGTTGCTGAATGGGGCGGCTGTGCCGAGAGAAGCGGTGGCCGGGGCAGCAGGCTGGCCGGGGGCCGGCCCGGGGGCGGCGGGGCTCTCGGGGCTGCACAAGGCTCCCTTTATCCGGGGGTAATCACCCAGCCCGGCCCCTCCGGCAGCGCGGGGCAGAGCCGCCTGGAGCACAGCAAACCCCGCCAGGTGCTGCGGGACACCCGGGCCCACCGTCCCTGTCCCGCCACAGCCTGGCTCCGTGCCTCAGTTTCCCCCGGGTCAATCAGACATGGAGGGGCYGAGTTGGAGCGCAAAGGTTTTCTTCCATTTCAAAGCCCTTTTGCACCGCCACTCACAACACTCCCAAAACTCGCTGATTCGGGTTCATCCCACAYGAGGACACACGCGGGGGCTGCCACCAGCTCTCAGGAGCGGCGACAGTGCCCTCCTCCCGCTCTCAGCCCAGCGGCTCTGAACTTTTGCACATCCTTTGCTCTCCTCCGTTTGCTTTCCCTGCAGCGTGAGCTGCGCTCCTGCCCCCCGGCATCAGGGGCCGCGTCTCTCCGACCCTCCCCGAGCCGCTCGGGGGCTGCTCTGCGGGTTTCCCTGAGGCACAGAATTCCTCCTGAGAGCCCCCAAACCCCTCTGGCCCCTCCAGCCCCCCGTGCTGGCCCCCGGGCCCAGYGCTGCTCCCCGGCCCGTGCCATGCACCGGCCCTTCCCATGCCCTCCTCCACCTCCTCCTCCTCCTYCTCCTCYRCATGCCTGGCCAGCCCACCCCCCACAACACTTTCCCAGCCAAACAGTCTCTGTGATTCATCGGAAATGATTAAGTTTTTTTCCCCAGGAGATCAGTTGCTTAAAATGGCAATGCTGGGCAGCGATAAGGCTGAGAGYGCTGGTGCTGCCGCTGGAGAGGGGAGGCCTCCTCCCTTTGCTGGGAAGAACAAGTGCAGGGGAGCTGTGCTGTCATCCACGGGATGCTCAGGAGCTGCTCTCTGGCCTCACAGCCGYAGTTTTGGGATGTTCTCACCCCTCATGGCAGGAGGTGCCTGTCTGTGGTGGGGAAATCCACCTTGAGGGGGTTCTGCAGACTCAGGGATTCCCTGATGATGTTCTCACTCTTCTCCTCCCTCCAAAGGGCAGATTGCAGCACCAGAGGAGCCTCAGGCTCTGCTCTCCTTGCAGCAGGGAAAAKGATGTTCCACTTGGCACAAAACACCACAGTTTAAACCCCAAAAATGCCCTGAAAATGCCCYGAAAGTGAGAGGGAAAGTGGCCCGCAGGAAAGCATCCACCAAAGTCAAACAAAGTGGGAGCACTCAAACGACACACCCCTGGTGCATTTTGTTCTGGGGCTAACTTTTATTCCGCGTTAAAAATAAAGCAGARCGTTGCTAAGAAAACCTCTGCAGAAAATTCCCAGCAGTTGGAAAGGGCGATGCCAATCCCTGGGGAAAGCAGGCTGGGCAGCCGCTGCGGCGGGGACAGTGCCACCCTCCTGCTCTCACTGCCGGGCCGTGCCTCCAGCTGGTCRGGCTTCAGTCTGCCTAACTTTGAAGAAAACTTGCTTTTTTTCCCCCCAGAACGAATGGTTCTGGGGAAGAGGGGCAGGATCTGAAAGCAAGGCACGAACAGATGGCGTGAAATCGCCTCACCGCGCTGTGTGTGGCACCCGGCGGGCTCGGGCACTCTGCGTGGGGAGCGTGGCAAGCTGGCCACCTTCATCTCCCCTCCCTGCTGCCTCATCTCACGCCTCCTTGTTTATCTGCTCGCTTAATGGATTTGGCTCCGGTCCCCGCTCCCAGCAAGGCGCACAAACGGTGGATGAGGCTCCCCTGTCGCGGTCCCACGCACCCAGCTGGGGTGGGGAGAGCAGGCAGCAGAGCTCCGGCTGCACCTGAGGCACAGAGCGCATCCCACGGCTCTCACTCCCCGGCCCTGSGGGGAATATCGGTGCCTGGGCCCCCCAGCTGCCAGCACCCTCCTCCTCCATCCCTGCTGCCACCCCTCAGCCGAGGCTGTGCCCGGGCTCGCAGTTCTGCCCCTGGCAGTGGCGGGGCTTTGCCAGTCCCTGGCACAGCTGCCGGAAACCTGGGCACCACGGGACCCTGCCCAGGGCAGGGCTGATTTCCCGGCGTTATCTGAGCATCGCAGGGAATGATCTKGAAGTGTGTAATTGCATTTGCCTCCCTCCTCTGGCTCCCGCYGGGCCCGGCTATCGCAGCCGGACGGAAGCGATGACCAGCGCAGAGCCGGGCCCGGGGCTGGGCATCCCATTCCTGCTCGTCCTGCAGGAAGATCCCCGAGAGATCCTCGAGAGATCCCTGCTGCTGCGGGGGATGCTGCCAGAGCCAGGTGGCGCAGCGTGGGCTGTGCCTGTGCCTGTCCCGACACGCGGTTCGGCGTGTCCCAGCTGGGGACGGGGGGCCCCGAACCTTCCCCAAACCCTGCAGCTTCCAGCCACACCGGTGGGGTCCTGCACCTTCCCCAAACCCTGCAGCCCCCAGACACACCCATGGGGTCCTGCACCTTCCCCAAAACCTGCAGCCCACCCACACCCATGGGGTCCCGAAACTTCCCCAAACCCTGCAGCCCCAGACCCAGCTGTGGGACTCCACACCTTCCCCAAACCCTGCAGCCCCAGACACAGCTGTGGGGTCCTGCACCTTCCCCAAACCCCGCAACCCCCAGAAACACCCATGGGGTCCCGAACCTTCCCCAAACCCTGCAGCCCCCAGACACACCCATGGGGTCCTGCACCTTCCCCAAACCCTGCAGTTTCCAGCCACACCTGTGGGGTCCTGCACCTTCCCCAAACCCCGCAGCCCCAACCCACACCCGTGGGACCCCACACCTTCCCCAAAACCTGCAGCCCACCCACACCCATGGGGCCCCGAGCCTTCCCCAAACCCTGCAGMCCCCAGYCAYGCCCGTGGGGCTCAGAGCATTTGGGGTGGGCTCTGGGGGTGCCTGGAATGCTCTGAGCAGGCTGACCCTGCCAATGCCATGCTGACGGYCTGGGGGCTGGCCGGGCTCCCCGCAGCTCTCAGGGTGGGGATGGAGGGCAGCCGTGCTGCATTTTGGGGTGGGGATGGAGAAAGCCTCTGGCTGTGTCCGCSCAGGCCTGCCCCTCTTCACACAACACGAGAGGGGCCGCGCTCTCCGGGGAAGGGACGGGATGGGGGCCAGCGCTGAGTGCTCCCACATTGCCCAGAACGGCCACTGCTCCCTGCCACTGCTCCCSTCACCCTCGGGCACCTCCTGCCAGGCCCTGCTGCGCATTTTGGGGTGCTCTAGGGCTCAAACAAAGCTTTGTGYCCTGGGGAAATACAGGAACCCTCCTGGGCTGTCCAGCCTTTGGCTCTCTGCTCCGTGGGTGCCATGAGGTCACTTTGGGGTACCCGTGCCCCGTGTCTCTTCACCTCTGGGAGCCCTCCTCAGCTCCCGCGTCCTCCAGCTCAGGAAAACKCCTCCTTTCCAACCCCTTTCCTCGGCTTGGCTCCCAGCGGCTCCTTTGTGTCTCCCCTCTCCTTCCTCTCTTCTTGTGCACGGGATTATTAACCATGGCTACGGRGCCTTTGTTCAGGAGGGGCCGGCAGCGGGAGCCGTGCGAGGAGCTGGGAGGGCGGAGGAAGGAAGGACAGGAGCGGAAAGGGGRAAGGAAGGTGGGGCTGGGGAAGGAAGGTGACATCTGGATTGTTGTCCGGGAGCAGCGCGATCTCTGGAGCAGCTGTGCGGGGTCGGCCGGGGATCGGCGGATACGGAGCAGTGGCAAAACCCCAAAAAAAAAGGAGCTGAGCTGGCGTGACAGAGCTCAGCATCCCGCCCTGGCGGTGGTGCTGCTGGCAGGGATGGATCCAGCACCCCAGGGCTCCAGGATCAGCTCTGGGGTCTGGTTTGTGGCGCACGGGGGTGGCAGGGAAGGCTGCGGAGCCTCGGGGCGGATGGACAAGGACAGCTGGAGCACGGCCGGGAGAGCCTTACCCCGCTGAGAGCCGCTGCCAAGGCACACGGAGAAGGAGCCCTGTGCCCAGGGCTGGGCTGTCACCCCACATCCCGGGGGGACAGGGTCCCACGGAGCAGGTGCAGCCCTGGGACAGGGTGTGACAGCCACGTCCTGCCCTCGCTCGCACGCGTTCAGCTGGGCTGGTCACGTCCGTGTCCCGGGCTCCTCTGCCAGCCCGGGATGAGGGGCAGGATTTGGGGATGGGCGCTGACGGGGCAGCCGGGGTTTATTTATAAACCGGGCTTTTCCTTGGAAAGACTTCCGAGTCCYCCGGTCCGCCCCGGCCCCCAGCGCCGGCCGGAAAAAAGCCCCATTGTGCTGGCGCCGGGGCAGGGCAGGGCTGGGCACTCACCCACACCATGGGGCAGGGGATGGGTTCGGCTGT